CTCCATAGGAGGACAAATGAAGCTTGGAACGCGTCCAGGGGCTCTGGAACAAATCTGCTAGAGAACTTAGGTTTGAAACATACGAAGAACGACTGGTTGCTCCGGATCTAGAATATGAAGGGCTAAGAGGAGACTTGATAGTGACTCATAAAATTCTGAGCACGTCTGAACACCCACCCTATCACTTATTGAATCTCAGCTGTAGCTCTAATTTCCGAGGACGCATACAGAAACTAGGCCTGGAAAATGATAGGTTAGATATCAAGCACAACTTCTATTTCCCAAAAGTCGTTAAACCCTGGAATTCTCTTCTTGCAGACTTGATCCAGGCTACTTCGTCTGAACCCTTTAAACGCCACTTGCATGCCAATTCTATATGTGGCTGAGATCTGACCAGAACTAATTGAATTTTCACGTTTTCGCTGCCCTTTTTTCCTGTTGCTTTATTCGCACACGGGTTAATAACTACAAGAAGTAGTGATCCACGGATTTTAGACACGGAGGCCTGATAAGCGAAAGTTTCCTCCGGTCCGTCAACAACAATTTGAACCATTTGAAGGCATGACTACACAGTTAAACCTATTGGTCTTTTAAACTGTTGCAGTACTGGCGATTTTAAATAACTTGTTCAATGCGGAAATGAACACAAAAATAAACTCATTGATGAAAATGTTTTGACTTTATTTGTTTTGTGTTTTAAAAACCACATAACCACCCGGTTACAGAAACCGATACCATGAAGATAAAACTTATGAAAAGTTTCACATTCTTAACGAAAACTGTGCCAGGGGATAAATCTTTTTTAAAGATAAATAGTTAGCACATTTTCGCATATATTAAACAGTTGGTTTTGATTCTAAATGTTCCGGGAACCTGACGGTCCCACCTGAACGTGTTTTTCACTGTGCGGTAGATCATCTTGCGACTATCTTGCTGGGTGGGTCGTTGAGAGACTCAGTGGTCAGGTCTTTTACAAGCTGACTATTGTCAGATAAAGTGTATCATTCGGGTGTTGTTTTGGTGTTGAGCTGGAGGTAATCACTGCTCGGACGCTTCGTTGCTTTCTATTTGGGGCAACATTCGCGACAGTTATACCAAAGGACTGCCCGATTGGTTGGCAGTGCGCGGCTTGAGTCTGTGATCGAACCCGCATTTTGTCGTTTTGAGCCCGCCAGGCTCTAGACAGCTTGCTGTGGATGCCACAGGTGAACCGGTGGTCACGGTAGGATGCGTAACGCTGCTGCTCATGGACGGCAGTGTGCGTCAGTTTTCTCAACTCCGGATATTTGCCTTGCGCTCTCTAATAGGACTATACAGATGTATGTTTCATTCTAACTATGGCTAGGCTGGGACCCATGCTTGTGGCTTCTTCAACAGATAACCTCGTGCTGTTTTCTGTTAGTCGCTGTCGATGGACATCTAAGAGTAGGTGTTAATGGCTCAGCAAATCCATTCCAGTTATGGGAGCAGAAATATCAGCTAGAAGAAACATCTATTAGATAGGTCATCGTAAACCTGAGCTGAGCCGGGTATATCTTTCCCTAGGTGTTACTATCACCTTTCCATAGGCCGCTTGCAGATTGAAGGATGGATCTTGACGGCATTGGTTTTCAGTTACGGAGAAGAACGCTGACTTCTGCGCCAGTGCCAAGGAGGCAGCGGGCTCCTGGTTTCACGTCAGCAATAAATGACTTTTTCCGCCGGCTAGGGTTGCGGTTGACGCTTGTGGGCGAACGGGGTGGTTTTCCGGTTCTGCTGAGTGCAGAATTTCCGAAAATTCCTGGTTTCTTCGCCCTGCACTAGTGGAGACCTTACGGGTTATCACGTTACCACTAGCGGGCTGTACGCGAAGGGCCCACTGACCACTTACAGAAGTGCCGAATTTTTTCGAGATACATCCACACTTCTGTGCTCTTGACGCACTCTTATGTTGCTTGCTTAATGCCCACTCTATGCACAAAAAATTGGAAGAGACCATACTTCTACCTCCGATATATGATCCGTCCGTGATAATGATTACTGAAGCATGGTGTACCTCGGACGCTTGCAAAATAGAAATCTCCATCGATAACTGTTCTTTGTTTAGGGGGCGGACTAAACAGGTGAGGAAGGGAGCATTATGCATGGGTCGGGTCTGGCATCCCCACTACGTAGTGCCCAGCCTCTGAGCTTGGCGGAATTGACGACCCCATATGGGTTATCCCAAAACATGCTCACTCCAGCTCTTCTTGTAGGATGCGCCTGTCGACCCTCTGACTGATTGGTCGATTACGCCAGGGGCTGACAAGTGTGTTTGCTTATGCAGGATCACTAACACACATAGCAAAAATTATATGTGGTGGCCTTAGCGTGCCGCATTCAACGTGCCAACCAATCACCTCCCCAAGACGCTTCAAATACAAGCTTGGCAACGAGATGTATGATGTCCCTCCCTGTGCGATGGTGTTATGAACCTAGCGTTCATAAATGGGACCGTGCTCAACCAGCCCCAAACGAGTACATAATTACCAGCCAGTGACCTCAAAATAATACTTAGTAGTTCCCACACATCCAGAGTAAAATGCCCTAAAGCACGGAATAGTTTTATTTAGAAACTATAAGTACGCTAAACTGAACGAACTACGATCGTTTCTGCGCTTCATGGACTGAGGCACCCACTTTATCAGCAGCTCAGACAAGGAACTCTGTGATCTATTTTGTGAATATATAGGTACCTCTTGCGACCATATTGCTTGCGTCAAAGAGAAATCAAGAAAAACAAGGCTAACTCTATTCCTGCGAAAGTATGCAACCACATGCCTAGCCGTGCCACAGAGTTCTATAAGTCAGATGATTTTCCCCTGCTTATCACGCTCGGGAAGGGTACTTAAAACTGTTTAGCGAGAACGTATTCAGTGTAATAAAACTAATGATACGAAGGCATTGGTGGAGCTGATGAAATCCCGGACAAGCAGCTACAGAAATAACACCCCAGTTTATTCAAGACAGTGAAAATCTCTTAGACGACCCACTACAAATCTGCGAGCTGTTCGGCTATCAGTTTGCTAGCTTCTCTGCGCACAAGGATGAAACAGTAGTCACTGTCACACCGTCAACATCAGCTCACTGCATAAGTAATGTGCTCTTCACTCAGCAGAACATTTCCCCTGCGATGCCATCCCTGGAGAGTTGCTTCCAAGTAGTAAAATTCTGTAACTTCTTCTCCTCCTTTGGATCTACACAAAGTGGTGTCGTCCAGGGCGGCATGATGGGATCGTTATTATTCTTTGTGTGTAAGTGACACTTGCAACGTTGGCAAACGTAGTACACCTTATCTTTCTCAGACGACTTGAAGATTGTCAACTTCATTCCTTTCTTGGGACTAACAGGAGGCTTCTCTCAAATTCAAGATGATCTGAAGGGAATACTAGTACGGAGTGTGACCTGGCAGCTCTCTTTAAATCCGAAAAAAAGTCACGTTTCGATAGGTCCTGCCCAGGTGTGACACTACACCTAGTAGACTACCTCACAGCAGATATTCAACTGTGTGAAATATCTTGGTATCAACTACTCAAGGAGCTAAATTTTTACAGAGTATGCAGATTCAGTAGTTTCCGAAAGCCGAAGACTCACAGGTCTTCTACACAAAAACCTATTCACACCTGGGGCCGAACTAATGCCATACAAACTTATGGTCATTAATAGAAATAATTCACTTTATTCCAAACGACTTGTTGCTTAATTTGGAATTCTCAGCATGATGTATTGAAACAACAACAAAATATAGGTACATACATAATCCTTTACAACATTTCGAATAATCTTATTGTAAAAATGTAGGTAATGTGGGAAATATTAAAAACGAGAAAATTTTACACTGTTAGTTGAATTACTGAAGTGGGATTTTAACTGTTACAAGTTGACGTGTGATTTCTGTTCCAACACCTTTTTCCTCACAAAATATGCTTGCTAGGTAAGGTACGGTCGAATTCTTATACTTATCTGTACGAGTATACAGTCTTGTGTGGCTTCTCCTTGTCGTCTCTGAGGTGATACATGGAGAGAGCTGTGAATGAGGTGGATGATCAGTGTCAGTTAAATTTCCGTAGCCAGTTGTCTGCTGGAGTCTAAATGTCTATCAACCACCGTGTTTTTCAGTTGAGCCAGAAGGACACCACTCAACCTGCTAACGGCCTTCAAAGCCCGATGCAACATAACATAGTCCTTTTTAAGAAGAGCAGGAAAGATCAATGGGAAATAACGTATAAGAATAGGTAAAATGCAGGAATTGTTAAATTGTACAAGCCAAAGTTGAGATATACCAGAAAGCCTCAGTTTCTTTGTGTAGTAGTAATAATAATATTTATTCTTGAATATACAGGCACACACCATTTTTATAGGTTTGAATAAGTCTATATACAAATTACATTCATCTTCATGGAA